GGTGTTAGTCCCGTGAATGGTCTCAGGGTGATAGAGACTGGTGGTGTTAGTCCAGTGAATGGTCTCAGGCTGATAGAGACTGGTGGTGTTAGTCCAGTGAATGGTCTCAGGCTGATAGAGACTGGTGGTGTTAGTCCAGTGAATGGTCTCAGGCTGATAGAGGCTGGTGGTGTTAGTCCAGTGAACTAGTTTCCATGTGTCTTTTAATTGCCATCATTCATCTTCCATCCGCATGGGGAGAGACAAATAGTTGCACCTTCGATGGCTGCTCACAAGCTTCTCAGACCCCCCGTCACCACTCGCCAAAGTTGAATGTAGAACATTGCCTTTAAGGACTCTGTTATGCCCTTTGGCCCTGGTGCCCCCAAGACTATGGTCCTGAGCCCTCAGGCCCAGTGACTCTTTCCCTTCCCTCAAGGTGTTCTGTTATGTTTAAGAAGTTTTCATAACTTTGCCCCCTGTATGTGCCACTACATTCATGGATATATTTACAGCAAAGGTAAGCACATATCATCTGTCAAATCTCTATATATGTATTCAGGGGTCTGCTTCCACTCCTGTTAGCCTACGTGTCTATCCAAATAGCACTCAGAGATCCTCACTAACCGAGGATGGTGCATATCGTGGTATTTGCCTCTGTTGCAGGTATCAAGCTTTACCAAGTAATTAATGGAATACATGGATTTGTAGAAAAGTTAAAATCTCATCTGTTCCCTATGCCCCATGGCATTCCTTCTGCCCTTGTCTTAGACTACCAAGACTTTTTTAAACATATAGATATACATCTGCATACTACTTTCAAGTAAATATGGATATACATGTCTACAATATCTTAAAACAAGGTATCATTTCCTTGTATCTAAGTTACAAGGTGATTGCTATGGATGTCATTCTTCAATTTACTTTACACAATGTTGCCCTTGCGAAGTCTGTTGATAGATGCAGATTTAATTATGTTCTTTAATTGCCGTGTTCTCTCTCGGTTGCCAGCTTGATTATCTCCTGGTTATTTTATCTGGAATGCCCTTTACTTTTACTCCCAGGTAGTCTAGTGCCAACAGTATTTCAAACTCAGACTAGCCTCCAGCTCTGATTTCTATGGGTCTTGACATTATTGCTCAACCCCCACCCAGCCATCCCGCCCTGCATACTTCTGTGGAAACTGCTGTATTGGCTCATGGGTTCTGGGTTTCCACACATCACATACAGTGTTGTTTTTAATCCCAGTAGGCAGTCCCTGATGGAGCTGCAGAGCCGGCACGGGGCCAGAACAGGCGACTCAGACCAGCAGGCTTATCTCGTTCAAAGAGGTGAGTGCCTTGGCCTCTAGGTTTTCAGACTTCTGGAGCGTCACTGTAGCCTCCGAAGAAGACGCATAAAGCAAAAACCCACGCCCTCCTATACAAGAGAGTCCAAGTCGATCTTCCAAAGGTATCGCACGTATTAGTCTTCTCTTCACAGGACCACACTCGCTACTCATTATCTCTTGCGTAAAGACCAGACTCTTAGCACCCTGGCAAGGGAGGTGCAGCAGAGGCCTTTTAAGCCCATTCCCCTACAGATAGTAGCCAGACTCAGTCTTTCACTGTTCCTTAAACATGCCCCTAAGATTTTATACCTACACCTATTTGCCTCTTTTGGGCCTTCACCTAGCAGCCCATGTGTGGCAGCCCATGCCACACTTCCTCTATTGCTCCAGTCTCTTTCCAGAGAATTCTGACCTACCTAGAGAAGAATGTTATGTTCGGTAAAGTACAGGTGATGGCTATTTGAACATAATCAATTGGCAGACATTTTCTCAAAGTGCCCGTTACTTCTGACAAGCCACCGGCAGTATCCATTGCCACGGCAGAATGCCAGTTACGGTGAGGAAGTTAGGGTGCTGACGAACACGTTCCTGCCCCCAGCTTCTCTTCTGTTGCGGTTGGTGGTGACCTTCACACAGGTGACCTTTTGGAATAACGTCATAAGCCAGCATTTAGAAGTAATGCATTACTTGGTGAACAAACATCTCCCAAGTGTTGTTAATAACAATCCATGAAAGGCGAAGGAGTCCAATTGATTTTAATGTAATAGTACAAAAAAGGTATTGGCGAAGCTACCATTTGTCAAGTTTCGGTATAATATCAAAGTATACTCAATTACCTGGAGTGATAGTAAAAAGTATCCCCTGAAGTCATCATGGAGTTAGCCCGCTGGCCTGAGCATGATGCTCTTTGAACACCAGTCCATGTGGGATCAAACGTACGATACGTGCTTGAAAGACGAGCTAGAGCCCTTGCAGGGTGACGAGTTTGTTAATGAGAGAGGGCCAGTGGCTGCACAGCTGGCAGAGTGTAACCAGGTCACTAACTTGTACACGTAGAGACTGTGTTGTACTATGTATGCTCTCAGCCACCTAATACCAGGAAAATCGTTTTTGTGTTAAAGAAAGCTATCTTCCAGAGACTGCCTTAAGGATTTTTGTGGTTGTGTTTCTTAACAGAACTGTTTTAAATTATAGTCTTTTCCAAAGTATCCCATCATCGTTGCCGTGAGCAAGCATTTGAGTGTGCACTCTGTTCTAAGACATCCACCAGCCAACAGAAGGACATAAGGCCTGGGGGCCTGATGGGAAACAGGATGAGCAGGATGAGCACATCAGGAGGTCCATTCAGAGTACAAGATGCCGCGGAAGTTAGCAGAAACAATAGTACCGGAAGGTCGGCGGAAAGTTGACCATTGAGGACCAGAGGATTCAAGGAAAGCCTTGGTAAAAGTGGCTTTGAGCTTGACCCCGAAGCAAGGGTTCAGATAAGGCAGAAAGAATGACCTGATGTGTTCAATTATGGACAAGGACTGTGTGTTTTAGAGCAGAGGCTTAGCAGACAGCAGACAGTGGGGACCTGTTACCCAGCTGGCGCCACACTCAGCTCTGCTGCTAGACCAGTGCACACACACACACACACACCTATCACAGAGAGGTGCAGCACGGTGGAATATGAAGAACCAGCAGTCCTTGGTAAGAGTCCGGTTGTCATCCTGAGCAGGGATGGATTGACAGACTGAGACTCACATTGATTTAGGTATTATCTGTGATGTCTTTCATGCCCGTACAACTCCAGAATTGGGAAATCCCAGGACTCGTTCTTCAGGTCCTGAAGCTCAGGAGGTGCCGTGATTCAATCTCCAGCTGCTCACAGAGAGATTGACCTCTGAGCACTACAGTGGCTCACGGGAGAAAGAGGAGGTAGCCTGCTTCTGGAAAGATCGCAACCCTGAAAACAGGCAGTTCTACTCTGTCCTGTCGGATCCGTAGGAGCTGGAATTGACGCCACAACAGCAAACACAAACGAATTCTTGCCCCTTACGACTGCCTTTACCTCAGGGATAACTCCTTGTGTTCGTAAGAACCCTCTCAAGTGTATCCGCCCTCATCCTGAAGGCCTTGCTGAACCGAGTAGTACAAGTTGAGTGCCGTTCTCTGTGCACCTGCTGAACCGCCATATGCAGAACACAGTCCTGCCACTTCGCACCCTGCACTGGCATTGTCCCTCTTCTTGCCGGATGTCCCCACCACGGCTGTGCCCCTGCCCATAGTCCAGTCTCTCGCCCACCACAGGGCGCTCCGGACTGCAACGCGGCTGGAAAATGAGCCTCTTCTGCATCCGAGCAGCTGTCTGCTGTTCGGCGACGCCCTGGTCATGCTCGCCTCCTCTTCCCTCCTCAGTCTCTCCTGCTGCTGCCAGCTCGGTCTCCCTCCTCTCTCGAGTATTCTCGTATTCGTGTGCTGAGAACTGGAGGCATGGGCTTTGATGGACTGGACTTGCAATCCTAAGAGAAGAAACGAAGAAGCAGGGTGCCATTTCCAGATAGATTCTATCTCTGTGTCCAGTGATAACGTCAGTTAACTGGGGGGATCCGTATTCACTTCTCCTTAGGGGTTGATGACACAGCTTAACCTAGGGTGAAACCATCCCGCCTGTTAGTAAAACAAATGGAGTGACATGTCCTTTCTCCCTTATTCCCAGGAGCGGAGGAGATCAGCTGGCGGCAGCAGCAAAGGAATATTCCGATTCATTCTTGCCCCAAATGCGGCGAGGTGCTGCCCGACATAGACACGCTGCAGATCCACGTCATGGACTGCATCATTTAACTCCGAGCGTGCCGCTCCCACCTGCTCCGTCTCGTGTGTGTCGTCTTCCGTCAGCCGTCAGGTCGCACTGTGTTTGTGTCAGAAGGAAAAGGTGTGCATCCCAAGTAGGACGTTTCTGTGTACGGATCTCCTGAAGCTCACAAAATAGGACCCTAAGCATACCACGCGTCTTATCATCAATGCCTGCTTTTGCGTGTTGTTGGGTTTTTTATGTTCGGTCTCTGAGCGCTGCGCGGTAGGTGCCGTGTGACGGTGTGTTACTAGACTAGACGGGAGGAAAGTCACTGGGAAGTTGTAAGAACCTTTAAAGAAGTAGGAAAACGAAAGGATCACAGATAGACTCAAGAAAACTGCCTTTGGAGTATTTTTTTAATTATACTGTTATTTTTCTTCATCCATTTAAAACGAATCTTTGGGAGGGTTTGTGTGTACATCTGTCTATGTTGTCATTTGATCGCAGTCACAGGAATTGTACCAAAGGAAGGGCATGGCTCTTTTCATGTAAGCACTGTGCACTAGACTTGCTAATAGGCCAAGTGAAGTCGATTCTACTAACTTTGCTTGAATTCATAATGTAAAGACGTTACCTTTCTTCATTCATCGTACTGCAGATACGTGGGCTTGTACAGCAGATAGTGGATTAGCTTGTATGAAAAGGCTGTACATTAATTTTCTCCCTGATTAGGTTACATCTTCATAATCACAAAAATAGTGATTGCAAAATAAAATTTTACTTATGAATCTTTTATACTCTTCACATATGATATGACTAATTTCATAGCGTGCATTTTCTGTCTTAAGCTTATTCAGCTTAACAATAAGGCCTATTGGGTTAATTCTATGATGCCATCCCCTAGGGAACAAGATGAGTCCATCTTGTTTGAGTTAGAAATGGGTCTTGCTTAGGAAGTGACTCAGTGGGTATTTGCCATTATTTTGTAAACCTACCAGTTACTGCGACCTACAACTATTGGAACAGCCACTAAAATGAATCCTGTCCTTGGGCATTTAGATCATACAAACACGTTCTTTCCTGTTTGCTCAGGCCTTCGTGCAGGCTCAGCCTTGGCACAGAACTTGATAGGGTGCACTCAGGGGCAAACGTGGAGCAACTGTGGTTCTTCGCAGACTCTATTAAGTCTTGCAGTTGGAACCTACCTCCACCCTGTGGCCCTATGGGATAAACAGACCTGGTGATCTGTTTGCATAACGATCGTGGCCAAGAAACCCTTGTGGGGCCATTCTGCTCTAGCTTGTGGGGATCTCCTACGTCACAACAACAACAACAACAACAACAAAATGTATACAGTCTTCACCCTGCGTCTGAGCCTGTAACCACACTTTGCCTCGGAGCATCTGCCTTCCTCCCGTCTGCTCAAACTGTCTCTCTCTCAAAAACAAACAAACTCACAGTCGTGGCGTTGATGCTGACTCACATGACCCTGTAGGACAGGGTTGGCCTCCCGTGTGGGTGTCCGAGACGGCAGCTCTACAGGAATGGAGAGCCATGCCTTTCGTCTTGAACTGCTGACCTGCAGTTAGCAGCCTGGCGCACCAGGGCTTCTCCAACATGGTCTCCTCTGCCCACACAAGAAACTGCTGAGCCTGGTGTTCAGCCTCCTCCATCCAATTACTTTATACTGACTTTGTACATTTCTACTTCTCTCTATCTTCCCTCATCTCCAGTAAAACTGGTCCTTCTTGATGAAACCAAAACCAAGTTCACGACCGCCGAGTCTCTTCTGACCACCGTCACTCTAGGACGAAGGAGACGTGCCCATGTGGGTTTCCAAGACAGTTCGCCTGTCTGGATGCGCAAGCCTCCTCTGGAGGGACTGGCTGGTGAGCCTGAACTACTGGCTGAACTACCAGCCCAACCTGTAACCCACGGTGCCACCAGGGCTCCTTGATTACCTCATGTTATTTATCTTGTACGCTTAAACATCAGATCTCCCTCCTTACCAAGGCTGAGCACACAATACCGAGCCTCACTCCCAGGGCTTCTGCGTCCTTACACGTAGAGCCCAGGATTTCTGACACGTCGCAGGGATGGCTGGTATTGGGGTCTCTGAGGCCAGACTCGCTCGTGTCTTGTGGCATTGCTTTTCTTCAGCCCCATGCCTTCCAGGAGAAAAACCCACAAACCCTGCTGCCTGTCCACGTTTATCATTGAAACCAACCATCTCTTTGGACCTTCCCACTGAACCAGGGCTACTTGACAAACGGGTCAGCCCCTGAAACCTGCGTCTTTCCCCCTCCAGCTCAGTTCTGCACTGCCCTTGGGACACCTCTTTCCTCAGTGTGTGGTGTAGTAGAGCTTAAATTCTGAGTACCAGGTTTGCAGGTGGTTAAGGATAACAGTGACCACCAAAAATCAATTGGCAGAGTGCCCACCTGGATGAAGCCTCCAGGGAGCCCTTCTAACCTCGGACCAGGGATGTGAACAGTCTTGCCCGCTGGCAGAGTGCATTGGAAAGTTAACCAGCCGGGAAGGGGCAGTGTCTCTTAGGGGCTTGCCTGAGTATGTCCTTAATGGAACCTGCCCTACTGGGGTGCCTGCTCATGAGTCAAGCCCTAACTGCTTCGGTCAGCAGGCCCAGGACCCAATCGTGTGGGCTTTCCTGTAACAGAATGTATCCTAATCCTGGTCCCGTGCCCACTTCTCCAGTCCCACCTGTGACTGAGAGGCACTGAGCTCCTGCCAATCTCGCTTTGATGAAACTGTTTCCGTTGCCTACCCACGCCTTTTGTAAGTCCCTGAATCCCAGCAAAACCTCAGACACCATTATCACTTCATGCTAATGGGGCCCCTCGTCGGGATATGTTTTTGCCCTTGGCTTATCTTTGCCCTTTTTAAGACTTAATAAATGTTCTCTTTACATGCTCGTTAGATTCGAGTTGGGCTCTCCTTTTGTCCCCTAAGACAGTCCCCTTCTTTCTCTCCCTCCACCAACAAACTATACCCCTTTGTTAGCCCTTCTATCTGGGAAGTTATTCTTGGAAGGACAACCAGGAAGGCAAGAGGCTCAGAGACGTGCTAGAAGCAAGCTTGATGCCATTTACTGGGGGTGGGGAGTGGGGGAGTTTCGGTGCCTAGGGATTTGACTGAAATGAGTTGCCCAAGATGTGGAGGGTAAGTCCCCTGGGTCTTGGGGCTCCTCCCTCTGAGCTGAAAGGCTCAGTTGGAGGAGGTCAGAGCAGGGCTTTGTGAGGTCCAGGGGCCCAAGGCCACACACCTTCTTGTCTTGGTCTACAGATGGGCTGATTCTGTCTGGCCAGGCAGGCAGTTCCTGCTCAGCTCTCTCTGGTTCGTCTTGCTTCACCATGGATGTTTGCGCCCCATACATTTATACTTCTGAGTTCTAGCAAGTCTTCTCTGATAGACGAATCCTCTGAGAAAATATATGAAATCATGAATAGATGTGTGGACCTCCCAGCCCCCTAGGGACAAAAGCTATAATTTTCATTATATTCTAAGAAGACCTCTGACCCCATATCCACCCACGATGAATTAAATTGTGACACCCCCCCCCCCAAAAAAAGTGTGTTGTAAATTCTACCCTTTCTATCTCGGAGGGAGCCCTGGGGTGTCGGGCTGCTGGACTCAGGTCCGCAGTTTGAAACCACCTTGGGAAAAAGCTCCTTGGGAAAAAGCCAGAGCTTTCTATGCTCAGAAAGAGTTCCCGTCCGGGAAATGCACAGGGAATCAGCTGCGTGGCAGTGAGCCTTGAGTGTGAACTTCATATCTAGGAGCGTGATCACATGTGGAATGGCTTTCTCTGGTATGTTCATTAGGCAGTATTAGCATGTTTGTGTCTTGACCAAATCTCATTTGCATTATACATGACTTGAGTCCGGAGGTAGTATGGTGGAAGATAGATGCTACCGTACTTGAAGATCCCCAAGAAACTGAAGAACCACAGCTGAGAAGAGACAAGCACCTCCCCCCAGAGCTGACAGAGAAATTCAGCCTTCCCGTAGCACCAGAGCCCTGACGTCGGACTTCCAACCTCTTTAACTGTGAGAAAATAAATTTCCGTTTATTAAAGCCACACACTTGTGATATTTCTGTGAAGGCAGCATTACATATTTAAGAAACCCCCACCCCCACTCCCTAGCCCAAAGGTTAGGGATCCCTGACAGCACTGTAGACCCTTTCTGGTTTGATGCACGTCTGCGCGGCTGACTCGCAGCTGGTCTGTGGCACAGCCTTGTTGGAGCCGGGTGGGTCTGGAGACCAGCTGCTGGCTGAGCTTTTCTCAGTCCACTGTTCACACATCTCAGCCTTCTTCCCCCAAACCTGCCCTTCCTGTGTTCCCTCATCCAGTGCGCAGCCTCCACGCCCACCCCGCTGCACAAACAAGAACCAGGTATCATTCCAGCCTCTCTCTCCTCCTTCCCTCCCTTGGGGCACCACAGTCTATGGGTTCTGAATCTGGTCTCTTTGGGGTCACCGAAGAACCCGGGGAGATGGAGATGGCACCGGAACTATTTCTTTTCCAGTCATTTAAAATCAGGTTTTAGTTCTGAAAATGAAGGTAGACAGAGTGGAGAGAGACTCCATCTTATGTGATGTCTTATTCGTGGGAGAATGCAGTGCCCGAGTAGTTAGGGGGGAAATGGCTATTTACCCATCCAAAACTCTTCTGCTTTGAGTTCTTTGAAATCATGTAGAAACTAAATGCATTCTTCAGCATTTACAAACTACATTCTTAGTATTGAGACCACTCCTCCAGTTGCTTAGCCTTGTACAATGTATCTTGCTGTAGACAAGCCACGTGGAGCTACACTGGTAGAGCCAGAGCCCTAGAGCTGGAGGAGCCACATGCTTGGAGAAGATCGCTGTACTGGGCGCAGTATTGGGGGTCACATAGACTGACTGCCTTGGCTGGAAGCCCTAGACCAATCTGTTCTGTCTAACATAATGTACATGTTCCAATCATAGCTTCCACCGCCACTGGATCCATAAGACGTTCCACCCACTGGCCTGTGATCTTCCATTGCATATACTGTGTGAGTCTAAAGAGGTATTTATGGACTGGTATTGGACATATGGGCTAATA